ATAGTTTTATTTGCGTTAAAATTTTGGATTCTTATTTTTGCGCAAATGTCTCAAATATCAAATCGATCATTTTTAAATATTCAATGTTTGTTATTAGATTATCTTCTTCGAATATTTATTCATATGGATCAATGGTTAAATGCATGTGTTGCTTGTGAAAGAGCAATAACAATTGTTAGAGGTGCTAGTTTTGATAAAAAGAAAAGCATAAAAATAGCTAAATTTACTATTATTTTACTTTTAATTTTTAATATTTTTATATTTATTCATGAACCACTTTATCGACATTTGATTGATGATATTGATGAAGATACAAATGAAAAACGAGTTTGGTGTGTTGTTACTTATTCATCGAGTTTAGAAATCTATAATTCAACTATAAATACATTTCAATTTTTTACTCCATTTATAATTAATTTGGTTTCAGCTTTTATTCTTATAACAAAAAAATCTCGTCAACAATCAACTATTCAACTAAAACGAAATTTTCAAGATATTTTAAAAGAAAATTATCGAGAACATAAACATCTATTTATTGCACCGGTGGTATTAGTTATTCTTGCTTTACCACGTTTAATTATTTCTTATATATCAAAATGTATGCAGTCAAGTAATGACTCATGGTTATTTCTTGTAGGATATTTTATTTCATTAATTCCAGCAATGCTTACTTTTATTGTGTTTGTATTACCATCAAAGTTTTATAAAAAAGAATTTAATAAGACAATTGTGCAATATCAAACTATTATACAACGACGTTTACACATTGCTTCATAAAAAAGGGTATAAATATATCTAACTTTAACATTAATATTTATAGTTTTTCTTTTATCAATAAATATGAACATTAATTATCTAAATAAACTATTTAATCATTTTTATATTATAATAATTTTATCGTCTTGTAGGGACTGACTTATTTTTCATCATTATTATCATTTGTTCTCATAACATTTTATGTTGAGGGTGACTGTGTGCTGATAAAGAAAAAAGTTCACATTCTCATCCTCAAGAATGATTACGAAAAATAGAGAGGGTGGGTAGATAAGAAGAATAACCATATCCACAGCCACACTGTCACCTAGAGTACGGCGGTTCTAAAAATTACCCGGAACCGGACCCGCAACTCCGGTCCGGTTCCGGTCAGTAGAAATGAGAAAAGAGCGGTTTCGGTTCGATTCAGATTTCAAAAGGTCGATTCCGGTTCGATTTTTTGTTCCATTCTTTTTGAAACCGTCGTACTCTACTCACCCGATTTCATCCATAAATGGTCAAGCTCATCTTGTTAGTACATTATCAAATACTGTTTGTTCTTAATTCTATTAAATAAAGTTTTTTGATGAATAAAACGTAGATAACAAAAACAAAAAATGAAAAGTCAGTTTATATTTCTGTTAATCCAAACCACTAATTCTGTTTCATATTTATCTATATAGTTCATATGAAATAATAGATTTAATTTGCTTGTTTGTTTTTTAAACCAAAAATAAAAATAATCGTAATCATTTATTTTCCATAGATAAGCTTTTAATATCGATAGTTTTGGTAAATGTTGTAATAAAAATAATAAATAATCCTTTGGAACTATATTACATTTAAGTTCTTCAATATTGGAAAATATTTTACAAAATTCGTCGATTTGATGATGAAATTTAAATGAAGAAGAGTGATATTTATATATATCCAATTTCTTAATCATTTTATTTAAATATTCACATAATTCTTTATCAATTGCAAACTGTTCTAGAGCACGAACACTAATCGCCAGTGATGATAATTTTGGTGAATCTTGTAATATTCTTAGTAATACATGTGAATCTTTTATATAAAATTTTGATGAAATACTTAAATGTTGTAAATTAGATAAATCAACAATCGGTTTCAATGATCTAACTGCTTGGGTTCCTAATGTAGGTCGATGAGTGTATTCTGGAGGAAGTATGGTTAATGATATAACATTTGGAAAATAATGTCCCCATGTTTCTCGTATTGCCGCATGATATATTGTTAAATTTTTCACATTATTTAATGTATTAATTAACTGATTCGAATATCTGTTAGAATCTATATCTAGTTTATAAGAATTTAACATATACGGTACTGTATAAATCAATGCAGAATAATTTGATAATGAATATTCAGTATACCATTGATGTTGTTTTATCCAAAAATCAGTTTGAAATTGATTGAATCTATCTTCCATATGACTATCATTAGGTTTATATATATAATTAAATATAAATTTAACGGTTTCTAAACAAGATAATGAAGATGTTATTAGAGATTCCCATTGATTAGCATCAATCATATCTAAATCATACGTTCCTGTGAATTTTAAAGTTATTAATTTTGGTATATATTTTACTAAGAATTGAAAATCTTCGAATTTATATTGAAAATTAGATATAACTAATTCTTTTAAATGAACAGCTTTCGTAAAGTTAACATTTGAATAATTTGTTATGGTAGAATAATATGAAGAAAGGTATTGAATGTTGAGATAAGTCAACATTGGTGCATTTTTGAATAAATAATTTAATAACTGATCGATTGAACAACCAGAAATTGTGAGATTTGTAATTGATGAAAGTTTATCGATTGATGATAATGTTGGAATTGTTAATATTTGTAAATTTGATGGTAATGGATAAGTTAATTGAATATCATTGGAGTCAAGTAAATGAAAAGAATGTAGTTGTGGTATTAAAGGTAATATTGATTTTAATTTTTGCAAAGAATTTTCTTTAACTTGAATTAATGTTAATGAATGAAGATGAATGAATTCATCAAGTGAAAAAAATGATAAAAACTCATTGATTTGACCACAAGTATCTTTATTTGATAGTTTTAATGAATAAACTTGATTTTTTACATCAGGATTTGTTAATAAGAATTTACAAAATCGATCAAATGTTGATTTTTGAATATGTTTAAAATTCAGATGTAACGGAATTGTTCGAATAAGTTGATTGAAATGATCATTTAACTGATTAAAGGAATAAAAAATATCAAATATACTAAGAAATTCAAAGATTTCAATAAAAATCTCGTTGGGTATTGATTCAAATTTCATAATGACTTGCAGTTGCAAATGAATCAAATAACACGTTTTTCTTATCCTAGACAAAAAGAGAAAAGAATTTAAGATAAGCAGTTCAGAGATTATTCTGATATATATATAGAAATAATGCAGCATATGTTTTTCTTTGCGTTCGTCTTTTCTATTATTACTTCGCATCAGAACGCAAGAAAAAGTTTCATTATTATTCACGTTAGTAAAGTATTCTACCTAAGTTACACAATTACCATGTGATGCAATGCGTGTATCTAAATAATTATATTTTTTTTCTTTTATCATTAGTCAATAAATGATGATATATAAGCAATTGAATCTGTCTATTCATATTGATTTGGCAAAAATATTAATATATGATCTAAAATGTATCCATTAAATACAAAATTATGGTTTAAAGTCGATGAACAAGTTGATCGACAGATTGAAGATAAATATAAGGGTGTGGTTATAGATATTACTGTGAATAAAGAAGGGTAAAACACCCCACACTCACCGCTCAAAGTCATAGTGTCTTGACAGTACTAGCATCTCAATGTAATTTTGATATAATTACAAACAGTTAATAGATACATTTTTAGTCAACTACACGAACTGTATTTTTAGGATTTATAAAGAAAATAGCAATGCCTTCTTTACGCATGAGTGTGAATTTTTTATACTCATACGAACTAAGTAACATTCTTCACGTAGCAAAACATTCAAAAGAAATCGATTATACATTTTGGCACTTCCAGCGTTTAGGGGCTGACCTCGTCCAGATCGAAATTTCTAACACTACCTCTAGCAGCAATGCAATCTGCTAGAATGCTGATAAATCAGTAATAACAAAATATTGCTTGGGGTGTATTATAAACAACCATCCGACGTGGTCTAGTGGTTAGGATTTCTGCCTTTCACGCAGGAGGCCCGGGTTCGATTCCCGGCGTCGGAATTCTTTTTTTTTTAATAAGATTTATTCTCGTTTGCTAATGATTTTTGTATTATTCGAAAGCATTAATTCTTCCACTGTTGAGTATAACATACTCTGATTCCATTTTTGTTCTGTCTTGCTTTAAAACAAAACAGCATAATGAGGAGAAAGCAATGACGCGGTATGATTGCGATGTTTGACTAGTTTTGTAAAACATAAAAATAAGTGTTTTAATACATTTTACTTTCTTGTTGATGATGGTAAACTCTTATCTTATCGTTTATTCTTTTACTTTTTCGGATTTTTCTTCAAACTTTCGATTCTTGTCATCTTGTCATGAGTTTTGATGCATCATCTATGGAAAATGTCAATGAAGTACAGTAGACGAGCAAATGACTTAAGTATATTAATCCAAATATTGAAACGCAAATTTTCACAAGCATCGATGCTTGTTGATCAAATGAGGCCGAACTGAGTGATTGTTTAGGTATTGTAACAACGGGATAAACTTACTTGTATGCGAAGAATTACCCTCATTACCCAATCACTCTTTGACTTCTTCAAAACGATTATTGTTTTAGAGATTTCTATTCTTACTAAGGCTGTGGGTGTGGGTATTATATTTTTTTGAACCGCCGCCGCTGACATCTGTCTCAATAAAAATCAAATTTTCGTTCTTTTTATATTGATTTTTATTTAACTTGCAATATTGCTGATGATTCTCTCCTAATTTTAATTTGATTTTTGAGTTTTGTGTTGTACATACAATATAAAAGGATGTAACAGTTGTTGTCTATACTTTTTTTTGAACAGATTCTGACTAATATATTGAAATAAAGATATTTTTCAATTTGAAAAAAATTTTTTCTATAAATTTTCCAGCCGCTGTTGATCATCCAAAACCGTCAAGCCGCTGCCGCCGCCCATCGATTCATCGGCTTTCACCTCTACCCACACTCACATCCTCCCACATTGTTTTTTTCTCAATTCTTATCATGTAACATATATTTATGCTTCAACATGACAATACTCATTTCTAACCTTATACGATGATATCAACAGGTAAATCAAATAGCAATACAACCTTAGAAGAATCTGTATTTGAAGGAACACCGTATGTATATAATATCTGAATATTGATTTGATTTTTCTATTCTATTAAATCTTTTAATCTAATTTTAGATTTCAATGTAAATTAAGTTTTTATAAATGCGACCAAAGTTCGTTTATTTATCTTACACAAAGAATAATATTTTTGAAATTTTATAAGATTTAGATGCTAGTGCGCCACCAACACTTGTTAATAATAGAACAAATTTACGTAAAGGTGATCTATTTGTTATTACTTTAACTGATGATGGTGAACAAATGCTTGTTATGCAAGTTGATGAAGAACGTACTGATCCATCTATAAAGCCAGGTAAGTCAATAGAATTTTAATGTAACTATTACTTTTATTATTTGTTTCTAATAGAAATTCGTATCGATGAATCAATTAAAACAACATTTTCTGTGAATAGTTTTGCGACACCTTATTTTACAGTAGAAAAAGTTGTGGCTAAAGAGGTAATTTATTGGAATATTACAAATTTGTCTATATATATTTCTTTTTGTTTGATTTTAGAAATTTGCACTTTATTTAGTCGAATTACAAGTTAAAGAACAGTATTTAAGTCGAGGTGATATGTGGAGATTTACTCGAAAATTAGTAAATATTCTTTTTCTTTGACAAATAAAGATATAATAGATGATTTTCTTTTATAATTAAGAGTAATACAACTGTTTATTTGAAAAAATCATTAGAAATATTTGGCATGCGGTAAAAAAAGAGTCATTTTTCTTCTTTTTGTATTAAAATAATAATCAAAAATTGTTTTTCTAGTACTACAGTTTATGGTTTATGGGTTGATGCAGCACCATATCGTGTATCTTCTGGTTATATAACAAAAGATACCAAAGTAACTTTTATTTTATAAATATTAAAATTCAATATAGATTTTGTTATTAGATTGTATTTCGTTCATTAAGTGCTTGTTGTACAATATTTTTACAAATGTCAAAAGAAATGTGGGATTTTGATCATCATGGTGATACATATTATGAAAAAGCTGTTGATGGATTTCTTTTTGATTTATTTACTCGATGGAAGGTAAAAGAAAATCTACAAATATAATATGTAATTATTTTTTTTGTTTAAGTCAATGAGTTGTCAACATGATGTAACAATGACATTATTTTCAAGAGTTTTTTATGATGCAAAATCTTTAGAAGATTTTCCAACAAGTTTACGTGAAAATATAAATACAGATCATCGAGGAAGATTTTATGAAGATTTCTATCGGTAGAATATTTTACTCATAATGACTATGATACTCATACTTCTAATTTATTTAGTGTAATCTATCAAAATGAACGTTATGATGATTGGTTACCTCGTTTAGCAAAAATAAAACAAGTACTTGTTAATTATAAAGAAGATCTTCTTACTTATCATAAAAAGAAATTACCAAATTTTGAAGCTGATAAAATGCCTAATGGAACAATTTCATGTGCAGCTGATGGAAATTATCTTGAAACATTAAATTTATCATCGAGTGGTTTGTATTGATTCATATTGTGAAATAAAAAAAAAAAGAAAAGAAATTTTTCTATTAGTTTTTGAACGTCAATTTATTGATCGACCATTTGATCGTTTTGGACAAATGTCTTTAGTTATAACACCTGGTAGTGGTGTATTTGAAGTTGAACGTGAATTAGCAAATATGACTAAACAACGTGTATTAGATAATGGTATTGGAAGTGATCTTGTTTGTTTAGGTGAACAACCATTATTTGCTGTACCACTTTTTAAATTTTTTAAAGAAAATCCAAATATAGCTGATGATTATCAAATACCACATTGGATAAATTTAAGGTTTGAATAAAAATATTTCTAACATTTTCTTCTTCTACTTCTTCTTTTAGTTATTATCGTAATTCAAGAACACCATCCTTTTTTCAACGTTATATTCCACGTTTACCATTTGATGCAAATCGAATTCAACATGGAATGTTAGGTAAAAGAAAAATAAATAAAAATATTTTTTTTAAGAAATTTTTCAATCTAGAAGTTAAAAATGTTATGAATTCAGTTGCAGAAGAATCGTTCATGAAACCATTACATTTATCAATGGAAGAATATGATGCTCAAGTATTTCGAACACAGAAGAAACCGTAAATATAAGATAATACAACAATAAAATCTAATTTATTCTGTTTTTTATTCATAGTTTATCAAAAGATAACTATTCAGATAAACCAACTAAACCTGAAATTCGAGTACCACGAAAACGATATGTCACTCTACAATGCAAGTATAAGATGATTTAATTAATAATAATATAGATTCTATTATAGATCCTCCTTCGAGTGGAGAAGAAGACGATGGTTTACAAGAACAAAATGGAATGGTAATTGTTAATAATAATACTCATATAATATCTGAATTCCATGATGATATTCATAATTTTAATACAAATATAAAAGATGATATTGGTCTTTCTACATCTCACGCTGGAACATCAGCTAGTATTATGGACAATACTTCATTTCATCATACATTTAATCAATCATCACAAGTTTTATATTATAATCCATCTAATAGTTCATCTCGTGGTTTATCACAAAGTGCTGATTCATATTTTTTAGCATCAAATTCATTTACTCGTTTACAAGCACGACCAAAAGCATTAACAAATCCATTTGCACCTGCTAGTATTCGAATACCAATGGGACCAGGACGACGTCGATGGGCACATACATTTCCAATCGGTCCAAATAAAATACCATGGCATTTTCATCATTTACGTCAAACAGAAAATACAACTCATAAAAAATCTAATGTTGATAGTTCAATTAAATCATCAACTTCTAAAAGTTAGTTAATTAAATATTTTAAGTTTTGTTTTTGAACAAAGAAAATTTATGTTAGGAGACAAACAAGAAACAATTATTTGGGGACCAACTGGTGTTGAACCATGGAGTGCATCGATGATTACTAGTATTGATTGGAAATCTTTAACTATTCCAGCATCTCTTCCAATAACAT